AGGTGCAAATTCACCCTAGGGAATTATGCTCTTTCTGGGGATGCTTCCTGAAGGTTGAAAGACCCAGGTCCTTAAGCAGAGTTTCCTAGGCAGGGTTTTGCTGTGCTTTTGGCCAGAGCTGGCCTGCACATGGCCATTGCATGATTTTACCTATCATGTAATGTAATGTGGTGAAACCATTCATTAATGTTTCCATTGCAACCATCAGCGCAACATTAATTTAAGGATTTTTCTTATTTTCTTGGATCTGTAGAATGATGGACTTGCTTTTTTTCTAAGTTACAAGCTACAGAATATCAGTGGTCTTGTCTTAAAGCATGCTTCAGTGTTTCAAAGATACGGGTAGGAATTAAACTACTAATTGCAAAAGAGACCAGAGCGTTATGGCCTCAGGGAAATATCTACACTGTTCAATGTTCTTTGAAAACCTCAGGCTGTGCTTGTTCCATAAGGGAACACCTCAGTGCCCTGGAAAAAAACCCAGTGTGCATTATTTTCCCACCCATGAGTGGACAGTATTGTTCATGCATTTTTTCAAAGCATTTGGGGGATAAATTCTCTGTATATTTGGTATGTGCCGTTGTTTAGCAATGCCATTAGCATTCGGAAAGCCATCCATTTGTATCTTTCCTGTGATGATCAAACTCTTAATAGGCCTATAAAAGCACAGATTTAGTTTTTAATCCACTAATTTTTGTATTTCTGAATAATTATAATATATTCAATGCCCAGGATGACTTCATGTCCCTCTGCGAAGGGAAAAGCTATCAGACTCAATCTCCAGTGGGTTCACACAGAAGATTCAATGCCCAGGATGACATCATGTCCCTCTGCGAAGGGAAAAGTCAATCTCCAGTGGGTTCACACAGAAGTGGATCACAACTGCAGTCCCTAGGTGTGGGAGTTCCTGACTCATAGTGCATTTTGTGCTCCTTGTCAAACTCACAGTCCCTGTTCCAGTACGGCACTCCCAAGTAAAAGGTCCTTGGCAAGGGTCTGCAGGAGGGAATTTCACTGGATGTAGATTATCATGGAGCTCAGGGGCTTCTCTTCTTCTTTGTGACTGTGAGAACAAGGGGGAGATTACTGAAATGAGAGCTCTATTTCCAACATTGAAGCCAGGATTTGGGGTAGGGCTGTAGCCACTGTGACCACACTGACGGCCGGGGTGTGGGCCAGATCCCATTTTACCAGGACCACCTCATCTCTGTGGGGCTGTGCTTGTGAGACAGAACCTCCAGTGATGCTGAATGATAATAAAATAAACGTCTTTATTTTTAATAGATGGACAAAACAGACCCAAAACCAGACAGTGTTTTCCTGAAATGCATGGACGCTATTGCATACAATACAAATGAAGTTAAAACATATATATCTATATTATGCTTCCTATCTGCTTTGTTAAGTATAGTCTTAATATAGCATTTCTGACACAGACAAAAATATACTTTTTTTTTTTTTAACTACATCCACAAATACTGCCCTGATTAATAGCAGACTTACAATAACTTACTAACTGCACATGGAAATTGACCAATACACTTGAAGGGCAGAAGGAAAAATGAATAACAGTTTTTTCCTATGATACTTCTATTTGAACTCCTAAATTCTTGTACTATATGAAAATAAAAGACTAAATCTGACTTTATTTGATCCACTTAATGTTTACATTCAGTTCAGGTTCACAAAAGTATGGTTTGTTTATAATACATATACCATCCCATTTGGACAAGTAGAGATGAAATAACTTTTTTGACATGTCAGCTATGTTATCAACCTTGATTTTATGAACACATCTCATGCAACGGAGGAAAAAAAACCCTGTCAAATAAATGTTATTCACAAATGCTAAGAATATGAAAGTAAAATGTATGATTGTATCATGAATATTTTATCTTAAAATTGTAGGCTCAGAAACAATAACCTCAGTGTCTGAAAATGAGCTGTTTGCTTCACTGATTATAAATCCAATTTACTGCACAGTACTACTGTCCACAAATTGCAAAAAGGGAGAAAGACTGATAATTCCTCTGAAAATAAAATCTGCTTAAAGAATCATGTCCTGTTGGCATTTTGCTTGTAGAAGTAACACAGTTTTTGTTTGTTTGTTTGCTTTGGTTTTTTTTTTTTTTTTTTTTCCCCCCACAGCTATCAATCTCAGATATGGCATTTGGTTATATGAACAGCTCTGCAAAATTTAATGGTAGGACAGCTGAGCTAAGGCAATAAAACCTGTAAACAGACTTTGCATGGGGCTGTTTGGTTTGGCTTTTGTAGTCCATCTAGGCAGGAATACTGCATGAAATTACATCAATTTAAAAAAATTCTATAGGATAGAAAGTTCAAAATATTCTGATAATGTTGAAAGCTCTGGTTTGAAATTTTTTGGACTAACACTTATTTTTTTCACCTACCTTTTTTGAGCATTTTAAAACCACTTCAATTTTTATGGCAACAATGGAATACAAAAGAAAAACATATTTATTTTTCAATCAAAATTTCTTAAATTATTCCAGCTCAATCCATCTTCTCTTTTTTTTTTTTTTCCCCACAGATGGGCATTTTGAAATAAATAATATCAAAATGTTGCTGTATTCAAAGCATCTGGTCACTATGCAGCATCTCATAGTGAAATTCTAACAATTCCTAGACAAAACTGAGGTAAGAGAAAAGTTTTCAGGAAGGCCTACAGGTGACTGTAAAATGGGATCCTCTAACTTAATTTGGAACGGCAGCATAAGGCATTGGCTATGTAAGCAGGTAAAACTGTGACTTGATATTTTCCCATAAGAAGGGATTCAGACTAGCAGATTTGGACTGAAAATGGAGAATAATTCAGCAGTGCTTCTGTTCTTTCCCTCTTTCCTCTGCAAAGTCTTTTTCCTTATCTCCCTTCTATGGTTCATGGGGGAATTAAGACTGCTGGGCTTGTGTTTGGTTTGTGATACTCAGCACCCTGAATTTCATGGGTGGCCTATTAACTCATCTTGCAGGAATTTTTAATTTCTTTGCTATAGTGGCTCTTCTGAGTTTTTAGTGCAGATTCTGGTTTTGATTCCCTCCACCCAGAGCACACTCCATATTGGTAAGCACAGTAGTACTGCAGGTCACAGTGCATATTCAGAAATGAGTTGCAATGTTATTTTAAATGCAACATAAGGAGAAAAAAACCCCAACATCTCTGAAATTAATTTTCTCTACATATTAAATATATATGTATGCTGTTAGGACTCCACAAAAGGAGCAAAACATATCTAAGGATTCAACCTTGTGAAAGCTTATGTCAACACTGAATCCACAAGCTGATGGCTTCTTCCTTTAGCAGCAAAACCTATTCCTGCATCTCCTATCCTCCAGTATAACTCCTCATGCTGTGAGGGTTAAAAAAAGAAATTTCACTGGTGACCACCAACAGGAGGATATCTGGATTTCAACCGAATATTTTGTGTCATACACAGATTTTTAAAAGAATTATTGGAGCACAACTCTCAATTGTAGAGAAATGTAGACTCATTTCTAGAGCTCACACTGAGAAAGGCACATACCAATGGGGACAGACACAATCATCTTGGCCGTGGGCAAGTGGGAACAACATTGCGTGTTCCTGCTGGCCCGGGCAAAGTCAGCAGAGGCCTCATCTCCCCACTTTGCTGCTTCTGGCCAGCACTGCCATTTGTGAGCCATGTCTTTTCTGCACCTGGCCACTACAGCTGCTCTGCAGGCTCACTGAGATGGCCAGGAGGACAGGGATCAATGGAGGAGTCCGGCACTCAGTGGAAGACACCACTGTGCCTCTCGCTATATTTGTGGGTTCACCATTCCTTTCAGTTCCTCTCCAAGCTGCTTTCAGAGGCAAACACTTAAGAGATGTGGAAAGCTGTACAGCAAGCCTGTTTTTTGAGAAATTGTTGAGGAAATGTTATTTTCTATGGAAAATATGGATTTTCCAGAGTAATTCCAGCATGACCAAGTCAAAAGACTTTTTGGCATCTTTAAGAACAGCTTTTTTTAGCAAGTGAAAATTGGGAATTTTCTGCAAGGAAAACCCTCTCATTTCTCTTTTCAAGCCTTCTTGATTCGCTTTACTTTTCAATATTTATTCCATTGGTGAAATTGCTTGGTGTCAGACTGCTTTGCTTGTGTTCATTTTCATGATAAGTCAAGATAAGTCTTCTCCCAACACCGAAAGATTCTATTTAGTTTGAGTTTTTCTATAAGAGCCATTTTTCACAAGCTGAATTTCACCTCCAGTTATTGCTGTAAGAATTTTGGTGACAGTGACTAACCACAGAAGAAGAAAGAGAACACCCATATTAATGTATTTTGCTTAAGGTTGCCTTATATCAGCTATGACATAGTTTTAAACTGGTGATTTAATTTTAACTTTTAAAAATTAATATATCATGTTTAGCACTCCTATAAGGAATTTATTACTATTTGTGCATTTTGCTGTCTCATACAAATAATAAAGTACTAGATTGTAGTATTTAAATTTCTTTATGAGGAAAAAAATTACCAGGCCAAAACCCGAGGGAATTTATCTATCTGTCTTTGTTCAAGCAACTAGCTCTTTAGCAATAAATCACTTATAGTGTGGCAACATATTTTCACTTAATGCCAATAAAATGCTGAGTGATAATATTTCAGACTTACTGTATTATAATCACTTCATATGATATCCTAGCTAAGAACTGTTGCACATTTTCTTATACATATATTTTAAATTTTAAATATTTTTAATGGTACAGTATATAGCTCTGGATGGAAGGAATGGGATTGAGTGCATACTTTAGTAAACACTCTGTGATATCTAATCCAACATATTAGATAACAGCAGAAAAGAGTTCCTCCCATGGGATGCTCCTGCTCATAGAAACAACTTAAAGAATGTGCAGCGGCATTTTATTCCCAATTCTTGCTTTTCTTCTGATAAAATGCTTCTTACTGTTCTTTGTATAATATCCTGCTTCTCATTGTTTTGCCTGTGGCTACAAGATTTTTTAATTATCTTCAGCGTTGGACAGTTCTGGACTTGAATCAACGTAGTTGAAGGCTTCCTTGTTTGTGAAAGTTGAGCTCAAAGTTAGACTGTGTCGAGGATTCACAGGTGCAAGTTCATTTAATACAATATTGTCACTTTTTACAAGAGTTGCTTTGTCCATGTGTTCTCTACTGTATCTGGCAACAACAGCATCAAGAAAGTCCAGCTTTGGTGGCAAAGTCCCACTTTCAAATAAGTATTTGGCTAAGTAGGAGACTATGACATTAGTAAAGAAGGAGGTGAGCATAGCAAGTGTTTTAAATGGGAATCGCTGGATATAGAGGTTGTTATCATCTTGATACCAGCCAGGGTAGAAGATCAAGGGCTGAAGGTAGAGGTACGGTTCTCCTCCGGTTATTCTGAGGACAAGGCCAAACAGGTATCCTGCAATGGCACCGTAGGTGTTGGTTCCTTTAATAAATAGCACACACAGGAGCTGGGGGAATATGATGATATAAATGAGGTCAGAGCTGAGGTACCAGAGGCCGTACACTGATGAAGCCAGCAGTGCCATTGCTGTTGCTGATGCTCCAAACAGAAGAACAGTGATTCTTATGACCCACACAATTTCCCTGTCTGAAGCCTGCAAAAAAAGGGCAGTGTTAGGTGGTTTTTTAATGTCTATACATGTATAGCTACACTTATATACAGTCAATATAAAATACTGAATTGTAAAAGAAAGCTTTGCATGATTAATTCAATAATAATTACAAACTAATATCTCTAACTCAATCTCAAGCTCCAAGAAAAAACCCTAGAGGCTATGGTTGCCAGTCCCAAAACCATTACTCTTTGAACATAGCAAAAACCTTGATGATGAGTCAAAGAGAAAAATCAGCAGTGTTAGAAATAACTTTTAAATAGAATCACAATGTGGCTCAATTAGAAAAAACCTGTCAGCATCAGAATTTCTTCTCTGTTTCCTAAGAAAAACTCCAACTCATTAGACCATTCTGTTGCCAAATGATTTCCCAATTGAAAGATTAGAAAAAGGTCTCATTTTGTGAAGAATTAAAGTGGAACTTACACTTGTAGCTACACTAATTAGCTGTTTGGATAAATTGCAGTTCCATGAGAACTCTTGACAGCTGCCCTCCGCGAGCCAGCTTTTTCACTTTTGTCATCAGTCACAACCATAATTATTTTTATGATTTTCAGTTTGTTCGACATACTGTTAGCAATTAAATTATTTTTCTACTTACAGGCAGGAACATGAAAGAGGTGTTTCATTACGACATTATGTCTATGTATCACCTAGAGAAGGTCTCACCTAAAATTTTCTCTAAAAGTAAAACCAAAAACATTGTCTCACATTTTGCCGGAAGGCAAGCTGGTAAATGTTCCGAGCAAACATAGAACTTGCTGATAAAATTGAGGAGTCAGCTGAGGACATCACAGCAGCAGATACGGCACCGAGGCCAAAGAACGAGATGTAGACCGGGCAAAGGTACTGCAGCACGATGGGTAAAATCATATCTGCTTCTTTTTTGCTCTTGGGGTCAGGGACACCGTATTCAGTCTGGTTCCAAGCTGCAATATGGACACCAGTATGTTATCAGTAACATTAGCAGCCACAGCACCTCTTCACTTCATGTGTGGCAAGCTATTCATATTACCATATTTTCATGCACATTCAATGAACAAACTGATACCAGGGCCAGACCGATGGCATTTCAGAGAAGCAGTGTCACACTAGTTTCTGTTAGGCAGATTTAATTCTGCTCAGCATTTTTTCTTGTCTCTAAAATAAACTTTAAATTGCACATAAATGTAGTTTTATTCAATATAATAAACCTGGGATTCATGTTTTTTTTTCTGCTGTGTTTAACTACTCTTTTGGATTACAGAGCTCAAAGCAATGTAAACATTTTTAACAGATTATTTTTAGTAGTTTAGCTACACAGTCACTGTGACGGGGATCACTCTCACTATGACAAAAAAAAAAAAAAAAACCTTGGCAAGGATATATTGGTCAAGGTAAGAAATTTCTGATAAATCAAAGAATCATTTAGGTTGGAAAACACCTTTATGATCATTGAGTTGAACCATTAGCCCAGCACCGCCAAACCCATCCATAAACCACATCCCTAAGAGCCACATCTACACATATTTTAAATAGCTCCAAGGATGGAGAATCCAGCGTTTCCCTGGGCAGCCTGTTCCAGCGCTTGACAAACCTTTTGGTGAACACAGTTTTCCTAATATCCATTCTAAACCTTCCCTGCTGCAACTTGAGGCCATTTTCTTGTCCTGTTCCTTGTTATGTGGGAGATGTACCTTGCTACAGCCTCCTTTCAGGTAGTTGTAGAGAGCAAACTGTCTTCCCTCAGTCTTTTTTTCTCCAGGCTAAATAACCACAGCTGCCTCAGCCATTCCCCATTATCACTGTAACAACTAAATAAAAGCACCAGAATCTAACACAAACATTGAATAGAAGTATTGTGTCTGTAGATATCTAGAATGTACAAAATTATTTAATTTCATCTACTCTGGTAGGAGCAATTTCCTTTGGGAGAAATATTCTGTAACATTATTTTTCTGTGTAGTTTTCTGTTGAAGCAGACATGAGTTGAAAATGATGCCACCTGGTTATCTAACCTGTATGTCACCTATATCTAACACAAGATTTATTTTCACACACTTGTTGCACTATTCATTTTACATTTATTGTACTACTGATTTTTAATCATTTACCTGTAGATGCTCCAATTGCACCAATCAGTACTGCAGGAATAGCCATCACAAGACAGCCAAAAGCAGCCAGGAATGACAGAACTTGAGCGTATGTGGCAGAAGATGAGGAAAGAACTCTCTGGAAATACGCCTGCCATGGAATTCCTCCTAATGTCTGCAAACACAACAGCATGCTGTGACTGGGGTGTAGCTGAATTGTTTTACTATCACCATATAGAGAACATGCACAAGGATCACTTGAATGCTGAAAGCCATATTGCTACTTTTAAATTTATTTATTGAATATCAGCCAGCCAGTAATAACTGCAACTTTCATTACCACAAGCAATGTCAAACCTGTGTAAGTCCACTTAAATCCCACTCTTTTAGACAAGTTTTTTTTTAAATAAAATTAACATCAACACTTTGCACTTTCATAGTCTCTGTAATCCCCAAGTTTTTTGACTTGATACAACTTTATGGAAATAAATATTTTCATATTTCATATTTGAAGAATTTGCCCTCCAATACTCCTCTTCCTCTAAAATGAGATTAGACTGACATGATAACAGAGCAAGATTTTATCTTCCTTTGTAAATGTGTGAAGTCTTTTAAAGAAGGTGAGACATTCTGTATACATTGAACTCAGGAATCTGAAAAATTATTCTTCCACTGCCTTAAGAAAATACAATACCAATAGAAAGTAGTAGAAGACAGGCATAAAAAGAAAATGTTTTGATTTTTGGTGAAAACCCTTCTCTTTTATTTGGATATGATCCTGCTCGGACTTAAAATTATTTCTGCAAAATATGACATAAAAGAGTATTACCAAAGATTGAAAACTCAAGTGCTAACAATTCTGTCTTGAGAGCAGGATTTGAACAGTCTCCACTAAGTAACCAAGTCTCTAAACAGCATGGAAAAAAAGCCAAGCAAATTTCATAACCTCGTTCTATACACTAAATGAGGCAGGAGGCATTTGGACTAGAAAGTGTGTATGCAGGTGTTTCATATAGCTTCATGCACACACAGGGACAAAATTAATGTTTCACAGACAAGTCTGGTTTTGACTTGTTATTTATGACTGTTTTTCTTTGCCGCCTTGGTAATAATGTTCCTTTATCAGAGATTTCCAAGAATGTGTAAATTTCTTGAGCTTTAATGAAACAGACAAGATGAAAAAAAAGTGTGTCATAATTTGGCAATATCCAAACTTTCCTTTGGTCAACAGCAGAAATGAAACCTTCAGGCTTACAGGAGAGAATACAGCCACTTGATCTAATGTCATACTTTAGGTCTCTGAGAGAATGCTGAATAAAAGAACATGTTTTAATATACCAATTATAAAAAAAACCTGAAGATTTTTGGCTGTGAGGATTTGAAAAAAAGTCAGAAAATGCAATCCCAAAATAAAACATGATAATAAACCAAGTGTAAATTTGCACAGGGACACTGAGAATGGAAAATGTTAGCATGTGTTTCTAGATCCTCTAATGGAAAGTACTTAATAACCACTGTTCCCATGTGTAATATAAATATAATGAAAGACCTTGGTTCATTCTGGCTTATGTGCATGTATGAATTTATCCATCCTGCCATCCATCTCTGCACAGCGTTTTCTTCCCCTATACCTAAGGCATATTTAATCATTTGTATAATGTATTTATTGCCTTCTGCAATATATGAATTCCTCTGCCAACAATTACATCAGTTAAGCATTAGCTGCACACTTTTATTTAATTTTAACATGTCAGCTCTTTCAGCCTGATGATATTTAAATTGCATTCCTGGCAATGCTGGCTGATATGTCACTGAAATCATTCAAATGTGCAGAATTATCAAGCAGGAGTCAAGAGGGTAAAAGTTTTCAGTGTGATAGAAACTCTTAACTAGACTCCATCATTTTCAGCTGTCACAGTAATATGGTGTAAGTGCTTAAATGCTTCACTCCTTCATACAAATCGCCACTTACCAGTAAAAAGAAATTGTCCAACCATGTGTAAAGGTCAAGTGAGTTGATAGATCCAAGCCAAGGTGCTTGGTACACGTGGTGCACAGCCGTGAGCCCAATGTCTGTTACTGCAGGATGGGACATGGCAAAGGGGACACTGATCCACTGGAACCAAAGAGAAAAAATGTGCTCAGGTCTCAAGAAGATATTCTAAATTTGTGAAATTCTAATATTAACACTCATCTAGTTTTCTTATTCTTGCTTGTTTGAACAAGATTGAATACCAAATTATGAAGATGATTTGCAAAAAGTCAGATTCTGTGCAGAGGGCTTGGTAGTGGATAGCTCACATGTGTCCTCGAGAGCATGAGCAAAGAATTAATAAATGTAAACTGCAAAAGCAGAAGCAAAGACACACTTTTATACAACTTTGTTCTATTTTACCTAATCTCCTCATACATTGTTGACACTCTTTCCTGGACCACCAGACTTTAGAGGAAGGAGCAGCAAAGCTCTGTGACAGTGGGAGTAAAAACTGGTCCAGAGTCTGGAGGAGAAGCTGGGATAACTGAATCTGTGCTCTCCTCTATTGTGACATCTACTGTGAGAGCGTCCCATCTGATCTAAACCTGCCTCCCTAGAGCATGACTATTTAGATACTGACTCCTCAGCCTCACTGATGACACTCTTGAGTTCATGAATATGGGTTTTTCAGCATTACATTATTGCTGTTTATTTCAAATGGGAAATTACATAAACAGCCCAATATGAATTAAACAAAACACTATAAAGCTATAGATCTAATAATTTAGAAAACTTCTGTGCAACCTTCATTTGCTTCCCATCACCCTCCCCCCCCCAGTCAGATTAGTGCTGATTTTATGTTATTCCTGCAGGATCAGGCTCTCTAGTGGTTTGTGAGTGGATCACACTGGAAGACAATTTCTGTACTTTGATTTATCTTCAGTTTTGGGAATTTCTGTAATGCATGCCATCTGTAGAAACTTAATGTTTCACAAATATTAACATTTATGTTAGGGAAAGAGACAATATTTTCCTCACTGTCCAGATGAAGAACAAAGATATGAGGGAAGAAAGTCTGGAACAGCTTTTCATTTGAGGTGGCCAGCTGGAATTTGGATTTGCTTTTTCAAGCTATTTAGCACCATTTCCATTAAATCACTTAAAGGCCATAGTCCTCACAGTAAGATGCCACAGAGTAAGCACACACAGAGAGCTGGTTAGTGACCACCTGTGTAAGCACTGGCTGAAGCAATTTCCCTAGAGCTGCACAAGAACTCTGCTGAAAGCAGAGAAAGAGAACCAGGCCTCCAAGGTGTGCTTTGATTCCTTCATCTTGAGCCACATATTTATTTTAGCCTGTCACAGTTCTATGCACACCTGTGACTGTCTAGTACTGGCACTGGCAAATAAAGCCAGCAGCTTCTTTGATTGTACCCTTGTGATCAGTGTCACACTGATGTTTTTCAATATGGGGCTTAAAGAACAGCAGAATATAAAAGGCTACCCACTAGCACATCACTGATAGCTGATGAGGGATATTCACACTTCCACACTAAAACAGCCAAGACATCTGGTGAGACTTCCTATATTATGGTCTCCAAGGGTGGTGAAGGGAAATGAGGGAAAAACCAAGAAGGGTAACTAAGTTAACAGGAGGTTAACTAAGCTGTGTAAGTGACAACCACAGAAAAGAGAAGCAGTAGAGTATCAATTCTGCAGGTCCAGTGACAGAATTTCTCTACCAACAGCTTCCTATGTCTGACGCCTCCTTCCAGAGCCCGAGTCACAGTCCTATAGACAGACAGGAAAGGAGTCAGCACCAGTCCTATTCTGAGTTAAATGTATACTCAAGAGGAAAATTTTAAGAGTGGTTGGACTGCCAGACTGGCTGGAAAAAAGCCAAAGAATCAGACCTCTTTGACAGCACTATTTCCAAAGTACAGGCTGTACATTGATGCAAATGCAGACTCTTTTAAAGTCAGTACTCTGTGAGTCTGACCGGTTAGCAATGCTATGCCTGGTGCACCCCATGGCACACTTGGCCCTTCCAGCTGCTCAGAACAAAATCCCTGACAAAATAGGGCAAAAAAAGCCAAACTTACCAGTCCCAGGAAGATGCAGAAGAGCTGAACTACGTCGGTGTAGGCCACAGAATAAACCCCACCCACAAGTGTATACATAGTGGCAATCAGGGCAGAAATAATTACTGAAATATTGACATTAATGTCAATGATCACACTTATAGTTGCACCTGAGGGGAAAACCAAAGCACTGTGTGTTAGTGTGTGTATCACAGCATGTCTGATGAGAACCCTACCTTTGTTAAGTTGCATATATTGGTTCTGGTCTGACACTTAGTAACAGCAGTAATAATTCCCCCCTCTGTATTCTGCACACCCTTTCTGCACCTTTGAAGGGAATGGGAAAAGAGGTGCTCCTGTTGGTCTAAGTTTAGCATCTGTCATTTTGCAGGTTCTTAGGAAATGGAGAAGTGTCCCAACAGCACTTCCTTACGTTGCTCAAAGTCTGTAAGGACTACACTCTCTTGCTCTGTCTGGGAAAAACAGATATGCCCATCTCTGATTGCCACAGTCTTCAGAAGGATACTGCAAGTGTTCCTGCAATGCTACCAGCCAGCTGCCACAGCACTTGCAGGATGCATCCCCTGAGGACCCATGAAACTGTGTCTGTCCAGTGTATTTTAAAGTTTCCTCGCTTGGTTCTCTTCCAGCAAGTCTTCCTTGCACTGGACTTTCCCAGGCTTCTCAGGGTCCTGGGATTCCTAAAAACTGATCTTGCCAGCAAATAATTAAGCAGAAAAAGCACTGAATACATCAGCCTTTTACACATCTTTTACCACCAGGTGGCCCATCCCATTCAACAGCAGTCCACATTTTCCCTTTTGTTAGGATGAAATGTTCTTGAACATGGAGGAGGTGATCCCTGAATATCAACCAGTTCTGCTGGACTCCAGGACAGTCTCCCATGGGATTCTTCCCAGCAGAATGTTGGAGAGGCCCAGATCTATTCTTCTGAAGTCTATGGTTGCAGTTGTGATATTTGCCTTGTTCCCCCTGCTCAGGACCATGAGCTCCCCCATCTCATGAATATTGCAGCCAAATCTGCCTTTGACCTTTATACTTTATACTTGACTTGTTCTTCCCTGGGTCTAAGTAACAGGCTCAACAGAACACCTCCCTACAACAGCTCTCTGACCATTTGTGTCAAGAAGTTGCTGCCAGTGCACTCAAGAAACCTCCTGAAAAGCTTGTGTCCTCCTGCACTGCCCCTCTGGCACCTATCAGGATGGTTATACATCTCCCTTAGATGTATCAGCTATTTCAAGCCATGGCAATGTTTTAAGACCATGTTGAAAAAAATTCCTTTCCTTCTAACTAGGATGATTTCAATGAAACATCTTGCAACTACTTTTAGTGCTTGCAGTTATTGTAGATGGATGTTCTGGAGCACGTATTTGAAAGAGTTTTGCCCTTAGAAGACAACATGATGTGTGATATATAAGCACTTCTGGGAGCTGACAGATGTGGCTTTTGCTGCACAATGAGCCTTCAAAGTTAATGTGCTCAAGAATTACAATCTCAGACCTCTTCCACAGCTTAAAGATCAGTGTTTCCCATCCACAACAATGCCAAGCAAGGAGTATTGATGAAGAGCAAGTAGTGAAGAATACTGGGATTAAACATTCATCAGTGAGGATAGGTGTGAAAAAGGAGTTAGATTACTCGCAGAATAGTTAAAATGAAAATCTCCAATGACCTTTATAATCATTGACAGTCTTTAACTGATGGCTGTTATATAAATCTAGAAAGGTAGTCACACTACTTGTGTTAAAATAAAAAGAGAATGACTTGTTCTCAATCAAAAATATTGCAAATACTCTGAGTGTTCTTCAAGTTATTCAACTCCTATCACCTCAGCATGCAGTTTTTTCTTAACCTTTTAAGAATTTCATGACGAAATTGTGGTAAACAAGCTCCCCATTGCTTTGCAGTTCATCAGAGCGCAGTCGGAGAGTACCTTCAAAGTTTATTTTTGTTAAAATAGCTTATGCTAGAAGGCATTACCACATGCATGTGCATTATTAGTATGATTAGTTGGTAAAAGTCAATTACTGGTGCTTCAACTCAAGGGCTTTCTCTATTCTTAAAGGGGTTGCTAAATTCAGGCCTGAAATATAATTAAAAACCCTGGAAGCTGATTTTTTTCAGGAGTGGATGAGTAGTTGAGTGATTTTCTATTGAGTCATAGTTTCACTAATTCTCCAAATCCTTTCTTGAGTATTTTCTTCATTTTGTCAAGAAGAAAGCCATTTAGAATTGAAGACTTCTTCAATTTATTCATCAGTGTCTGGTTTACTTCTATTATTTGTGTTATGGAATGATCTCTATATGTAAATCTTCTATATGCAAAGGATTATTTTCTTTAGATGCATTGGAAATGCTGTTACATATCATTAAGGGAAATTTTGACTGGCTTCTCTCATCCTAGAGATGTAAAAGAAAAGCTGGGTCGGATTTGACACAAAAGGGGCACTTGCAATCACTTATGTCACCCTCACTATGAACAGAAATTTGCTCCAAAATACTTTCATGTTCTTTGAAGAGGGACAACTTAAAGGTATGTGAAATTGAATAGATACTTTGCATGTATTTTCCTTATCAAAATAATAAAGGGGTAGCATTTATTTGCTAGTTAGCATGGGTCTGAGAAATGTCACAGTCTGAATCACTTGGCTTAAATATTTACCATTTGGAGCCAGAATTTTAATACATTTCTGACATTCTTGATAATTTCTACCTGTAATAACGTAATATTTATACTGCTTATTCCTTACCTAAGGCAGAGAAGATGGCAGCAGCCCAAAACATTTCTCCCATTAAAGCTGGAATAAACAATAGTCCTCCCATCCTTTTTCCATAAAGCTGCTGAAAGGGATCCAGCATTGTCACATAGCCTTTGGATCGCATGGGTTTTGCAAAAAAAAGGCCACCTACAAAGAAAAAGCCACATAAGACACCAGCTGCAGTTCTGAAATGCACTACCATTAAGGGATAAAATATTAATTGTCAGCTAAGGGTACAAAAATGTCACCAATACTATTTGTTTGTTTGTTTGTTTGCAAGTAAGGCTTACAGTTAAAATATCCTCTGGAAACTCTTACGTATGTCTACAGAATTACTTCAACACATGCACTCCATTAGTATCTATAGTCTAATGATTTGAAAAAAGGCTTTTTCTTATTTTTTCTGGCTCGGTTTATGTAATCTCCCATTATGGATTGCTGTCAGAGTTTCGTCTAATTTTGGATTAGCCTAAGAGAATGGCTTTTCTACCTAATCCTGTTGATTCTTAGACCAGAATCCAGCATGAAAGTTCACAAAGTCCTACTCTAAAAATAAAACCGTCTGAGATTCCAGAATCGGAAATAGAATTTCACATGTGTTTTAGTGGACACACAGCAAATCTGATCCTTTCAGGACAATTCAGATTTATTATATATGTTGGAAACAATCTTACTATACCTGCAGGATAGGTCAGAGGTTTTTGAGTTCTGCTGGTGTCAGATTCCATGAATATTTCTCATGCAGTTATTTCACTTACGTATGTTCAGGAATTTTGATATATCACTATTCTGCTCTGTCTGGCTGGTATATGGGCTGGATATGTACATAAATGTGCAAAGGCCTCCCCTCCTCAAATTCTTTCTGTCTTGGGGAAAAAAACAGGACCTATCTAAGGAAAGCTGAAAGAGCCCTTGTATGGAAATCTGTGTAGTTGAGATCTGCACATGACTACAACCAAGCAGACTTCTACCACAGTAAAACTGCTGTATAAGATATAATAACGAACTGGAAACCCTGTCAGTTCCCAATAAGATAAACTGTATGGCATTTGGCAAGCTTAGTTGGGTTCCTCATGACAAGATATGTCATTTATTCATTGTATTGTGCAGAAGATTTTCCAGATTTCTATGTATTGCCTTTTTATAACTCATATTTCTTAGTTTCATCAAGTTCCCTGAACAGAAGGTACTGGGTCACACACTGCCATCCCAATTTATAGTGCTTATGTGATTGCAGAAACCCTTCAGCTTTTTTTTTTTTTTTTGCTTTTTTTTTTTTTTTTTTTTTTTTTTGGGGGTTTTTTTGGTTTTTTTTTTTTTTTTTTTTTTGTGATTTTTGGTTTGGTAATGGATCCTTCTCCTATTCTACTTGTTATGCCAACATTGCAAAAGACAACTGAAGAAGAAAAAACCATAACCTATTAGGATGTTCAAACACCTGTCAAAGGAAATAGAAGGTGTTCTAACTTTTTAAAATAAATTGCTTGAAAAAAAGTAAGGAAAATAAAATTGTATGGAGAACAAACAATTACATCAATCTTAAATACTTCCTGTCTGAAGCAGGAAGTATTCTCCCAGCCTTGTATTTATAATTTTGATGATGTATTTTTTTAAAGAAGGATAAGGAATTCCTCCCCTCAAACCTTCATGTACAGATCATGCCTAGAGAAATTCTTTCTCTCTGTGCTCCGCAGAGAGAAGTATGGTTACACATACGGACTGCTTTTCTCTGCAGTGGCCATTATCATTTTCAGGAAAACAAGTTGGTATATCTAGACAGCTGGAAACAAGCAGAGAGGCTAACCCTTCTGGACTATTGTTAATTTGTGTCAATTCTGCAGAGGCTGCGAGCCAGGAGGATGCTTGTGGCTCCAATCCTAACAGCCGGTTAATGGCACCGATGGATCGTGACCCTCGTGACCTCCTGATGACACCAGCTCTTCCCCAGGCAGACATCCACAGGCACTGCTTTCCTCACAGCACACTGAGCTGCTCTCAGGGGTGGCAACCACTGCCAGGGAGGATCACCTACAGTGGGGGATGTTTCTGCCTGGAAAGTGAGGATAACTAGGACAAGCCATTGGAAAGCATTTTCAAGAGGAAAAAAGAAAGAGGAAGAAATAAAATGTGAAAGAGGATCTGGATAAGCAACCAAAGGAAACAAAGGGACAGATTAGGTAGGAGGACCCGGAAAACTCAGGACTCAGAATAGACTGAGAGGTCAAGTAATATCAGAAAGGTGAGTATATCAGGTTAAGGAAATATGAAAAATGAAGTATCTTTTTTCTGAAATGACATGCTTTTTAAACAGTTGCATCATTATCGCAGCATTAAAACTTTTAATGCTGTCTGTATTTTGCACTCTGACCCTGCATATATCAGGATTCCACATTTGCATTCTGACATGTGATTTAGAGTTTTGTGCATTTAAAAGGTTGCATGTTTCAGTTTTAAGGAAACAGTTTCCAATCTGAGGAAATATGTGCTACATACTTCCTACACAAAATCAAAAAAGTTACCTAGATTCTTGGTGAAGATCTATAAAATAGAAACACTTTCCTAACCCAAAAACATATTTGTCTAATTCCAAGATTTATAGGTGTAATGATACCTGGGCACCTGGATCATGTTCCAGATCATATAGGCAATTAAATAAAACTGGAATATATAAAACTTGGTGTCGACAATTTAAACACAATGCCTTACCCCCAAAGAATATGGTTGTAATAATCAAATAGGTCTTGGCAAGCAATTTAGGAGACTTGAGATATCAAACTATTTATAGAGATTTTTTTTGTTTTGTTTCGTTTTTTTCAACAGCCAAATGTACCAGAAGAAGGGATTCAGGTGAGTATATCAGGTTAAGGAAATATGAAAAATGAAGTATCTTTTTTCTGAAATGACATGCTTTTTAAACAGTTGCATCATTATCGCAGCATTAAAACTTTTAATGCTGTCTGTATTTTGCACTCTGACCCTGCATATATCAGGATTCCACATTTGCATTCTGACATGTGATTTAGAGTTTTGTGCATTTAAAAGGTTGCATGTTTCAGTTTTAAGGAAACAGTTTCCAATCTGAGGAAATATGTGCTACATACTTCCTACACAAAATCAAAAAAGTTACCTAGATTCTTGGTGAAGATCTATAAAATAGAAACACTTTCCTAACCCAAAAACATATTTGTCTAATTCCAAGATTTATAGGTGTAATGATACCTGGGCACCTGGATCATGTTCCAGATCATATAGGCAATTAAATAAAACTGGAATATATAAAACTTGGTGTCGACAATTTAAACACAATGCCTTACCCCCAAAGAATATGGTTGTAATAATCAAATAGGTCTTGGCAAGCAATTTAGGAGACTTGAGATATCAAACTATTTATAGAGATTTTTTTTGTTTTGTTTCGTTTTTTTCAACAGCCAAATGTACCAGAAGAAGGGATTCAGTTTACCTCAGCAACCTTTTATCAGACCCTAGTTTTTTATTTCAAAGAATGAACCCAACATCAGAACTCTTTAAAATGAGGGACTACTAGTTTTAGTATTTGCTTACCTAAAATCAGGCTAAGGGAATATCCAATAGGGGCCTGAGCCCAAGCTAAACCATAGTCTGGGACATACACAGCTTCTGCTGTTCCATTGATGTAACCTCCTCCAACCCATGTGGCTGAAAAGGAAGAGATGGAAAAGTCTTTAATGTCCACAAAGAAAGAAAAGCTCACTCACACACTGTATAATAAAATCATGATTATGTATGACGTGGTTATTTTTTATTATATGAACAATACAAGTGCCAGGCATGGCATCCTTTTATTAAAGGCAACCCTAATTTGAATTTACAGCCTAAGCATATGAAAAGAGAAGTCAAATGGATTAAGGCAATCATCAAAGTGTCTAAGTCTCTATAAAGCCAGTGAAGATGTGAGGGTTGAATCCCCCACTACTTATTTACCATTATTACTATTTTGTTTGTGTTAGTACAAATAAGGGAGAGGTATAAGGGGGAGTCTGAAGAAGAACATTTAAAACAGGCAAAAGTTTAATGATCACATTATTTACCAGGACCTTCATGAACAAAAAAAAAGCCTTTTAAACCTTGTTAAATTTTTGTTGTTACATGAAGCATAGTAATAAACTCTGTGTTCTCAAAATATTTCTATATAGAGTTGTGGTGCTTTTTTTTTTTGTCACCATGTAAGTTCTAAACTTTAATTCATTTATTTTATTCTTCCTTGAGCCATATTCAATAAAGGATATGTGCTATCTCCAATATTTCTGATTTTATCTCTCTCCAAAAAGCAGTATTTTTAATATACCGACCGCTGACACTTAATGAGTTGATTCTCTGCCTTTAAGGAAGTTTCTACATTTGAGAATTTGGGATCAGCAGTATATATGAGAGAAAAACTCCAACACAGAAATGTGTTGTGATTACATCTGCAAAAATATTTCATAACAAATCAAGTAATAAAGTTCATCTCTTCCTGTTTGCAGATTCCATGCAATTTTTTTTTTATTATCTCTGATGTATAATGAGCAAGTTTTAGAAATCCAAGTTTGCAGTTTGAACAAGGGCAGACAGACCATTACGAGTCCTAGATTTTTGTAATGATGTTTTGGTTTGTGTCAGAAGCCTTTACTTTTCATGTAAGAGTAGTTAGGGTTTCTGTGTAAAAAGTCACAATAGCTCAAAATGTATTTTTCTTAAACATTCTTCAGAATTTTTCCATCATCCACCATCGTACAGGCAAACCTGATTTTGTGTTTAAGACAAACAATTGGAGAGAAAAACAAATTAAGAAAATTTAATAAAATTCTTTAAGAAATTTCATTAAGAGCTAAATAACTACTCTTTTCCGCTTGACTGTGATATCTCTCAAGTACTACTAGAGGGTATTTTGCTGAATTTCACTATAGCTTTAGAATCAAAGATCTCCAGCATCCAGAGAATTACAATTGTCCCCCTTTCAGCAATGTGAAGCACAGGAATGAACCATTCTGTTGTTGGAAATGGTATAATGGACTTTTATGAGGGGTGTGCATGCACAGAAAGGCTGCAACAAAAGAAGTGACCCAAGGAGACCTGTTACGAGTAGACTTTTGGTTATCAAGAGCTATTGTGTACTGCAGAGATAAGGGGTGAGTGATGCCCATATGGGGCCACATGGGGAAGATGGGTTAAGGCTGATTCTTAACAAGAAGAGCAAGGATACATAATCTGCATAAAAAGTTGTCAAACATTTGGGATTTTGTGACTCTTTACAGTGTGAATTAAGATAGAGGGGAGTATGATACTTTGTTTACCAGAGTTCTAGAATTATGGAATTGTTTGGATTGAAAGGGACATTAAAAATCTTCTATTTTGAATCCCTCTGTGATGGGCAGAGATGCCACCCACTAGACCAGGTTGCGCAAAGCCCTGTGAAACCTCTCCTTAAACACTTCTAGGGATGGGGAACCACAACATCTCTGAGCAACCTGTTCCAGTGTGTCACCATCCTCACAATAAAGAATTTCTTCTGAACATATAATCTAAATCTACCCTTCAATTACCTACCTCTACATCTCATCCTATCACTACATGCCCTGATCCCCACCTTTTCTATAAGCCCCCTTTAGGTACTGTAATGCTGCTATCAGGTCTGCACAGATCTTTCTCCTGTCCAGGCTAAACAACCCCAACTCTCTCACCTGTCCCAGAGATCAGTGCTGGGCCCAGTCCTATTTAATATTTGTACTGATTATATGGATGAGGGGATTAAGTCCACAATTAGCAAATTTGCAGATAGCATGAAGATGGGTCAGAGTGTTGATCTGCAGGAGTGTAAGATATGGACAGGCTGGAGAGACGAGCTGAGGCCAACCGCATGAGGTTCAACAAGACCAAGTGCTGAGTCTTAGGCTTTGGTCACAACAGCCCCAGACAGTGCTAGAGACTGGGGAGATTGTCTGGAAAACAGTCCAGCACAAAAGGACCTGGGGGTGCTGATCAGCAGCAGCTGAACACGAGCAAACGTGCCCAGGTGGCCAAGAAGGCAAATTGCAGCCTGGCCTGCATCTGCAATAGAGCAGCCAGCAGGACCGGGAAAGACATCATCCCCTTGGCCTTGGCACCTCTAGTACTGTGCCCACTTCTGGGCACCTCACTTTAAAAAGGACATTGATGCAGAAGTGTGTCCAGCAAAGGGTGACAAGGCTCGTGAAAGGTCTAGAAAAGATGTCTGATGAGGAACAACTGAGGCAGGTGGGTATGTTTAGTCCTGAGAAGAGTAGGACCCCATCACTCTCTACAACTGCCTGACAGGAGGATGTACTGGTGTGCGGCCAGTCTCTTCTACCATGCCTACAGTAAAAGCACAAGAGAAAATGGTCTTAAGCTGAGATTCAGATTAGATGTTAGAAAAACAGTTTTGACTGTTAGGGTGGTCAGTCATTGGAATATCTTTCTCAGGAGGGTGGTGGAGTTACCATCCCTGGAGGGGTTTACAAGGTGTCTGGATCTTGCACTGGGTGATGTGGTTTAGTGGTTTAGGGGCTACAGTGGTAGTGCTGGCTTGACAGTTGGACTCGATGACTTTCAAGGCCTCTTCCAATCCTGACGATTCCACCATTCTGTGATTCTAAGTTTTTCTCTACAGTGCTGTTCTTAATCCACTCATCACACATCCTGTACCCATGTTTGGGTTTGCCCAGATCCAGATGGAGGATCTTACACTTGGTCTCTATCACTGGGCCAGGTACATTTGTACGGGATTCCTTCCCTCTAGAGTATCAATCACAGCACTCATCTTGGCATCATCTGGAACCTTGCTTGAGAGTGCCCTCAGTCCCACTGTCCATGGCCCTGACAAAGCTGTTGAACAGCACTGGTCCCAATATGGACCCCTGAAGGTCACCACTCTATGGAAAAATCCATGACTACCTGGGATGTGTGCTGCCTATTGTGTCTCAAGCAGCATAAACTTATGGAATAAGCACCTGTATCCAATATCAAAAAGTAAATATTTGCAAAGGGAAGCTTATTTGTCTCTTTCCCCAGAAAATGCCTAAGTATGAATTCTACATTAATTACATACTTGGCTACAGGTGGGAATATCCTATAGTCAAGGACAGATGTCCAACATTGCTGCAGCTGTGGTGAAAGAGGCTTCCAGCTCCAGCATTGACTTGCCAACAGTTGCTACAGAGGTGTCAGCTATTCCCCAAGGGGCACTTGGATGCCATGCCTAGCTCCCTTATTTCTTCTGGAAGAGATCAAGTCAATTCCCTTCTGTGTGATGTTGTAGGGGTCATTACCCTCCACTGTCTATCCTGCAGACAGATACTGCTGTGTAAGGTGGCATTAAGGATTTAGCCTTTATTTTTAATTTTATTTCTTGATTTCTGGATTGGCCTTTGAAAAATTGCTGCTAATCAATTTTTCTGTGCACACGACTGTTCTGGAACACCTGTCAAGGACCACAGAGCTCTAGGAAGGTGTTATATGTCTTTTTCTGAGGGGGTGAATGGATAGTCAGCACGTACACTGACACAGGTAAATACATTAGAAACTAAATAAAGGGATAAGATAGGATGGGATTTCAACCTTAGATATTAATTTTCTGATCATCATTTGCTAAGCCACAATTCAAAGTTAGTTTAATACCATTATTTTTGGTGAAATTCTTTTTGTTTTTACCTACATCAGCCAAAAGGAATACAATATCTAATACTGTATGGAAACACCCATGTGGTAATCTATTTTAATCTTCTCTTTGCCTGCCGTCTGAAGAACAAAAAAATGCAGCAAATACCAACATCTATTTAAAACATCTACTGTAAAAACTGATCAGACAAATACTGAGGGTAAGAAGTGCAATTTTTCTTCTAGTTCCTGTGAGACACACAGAAGTTGATCTCTGAGTTCTTGATATATAGTGATATATACTAGGAAACCAAAGTTTTTGCCACTTCTTCAGGTAGAATTCCTTGTCCGAGCACTCAAATTATTTAATAAACTTGTCAAGTTCTGTAAAATGAAAATTCTGATCCAAGGATTAGAATAAAATAGAATTGTGTAATATTTTTTTTTTCATGTGGAAGGGTTATGTAGCTCTATCCAACTAAAATGCAAAAATTGCATCAATAGATTATTACCTTTTGGGTCATGTTTGTGAGCATTTAGTTATGTAATCTTGACTATTTCCTTTGAGGTTTAAACTCAATCACTAAAATCTAATTAGATTCAATTTTGTTGGAGATATCGCTTCTTAAAAAAAAATCACAAAAATAAGGATTGCTAGTATTTAATGCAACATTTTATCTATAATTATGTAAAAATTATACACAGATTAAATGTGTCTACTATGGTACAATGTTATTTCATTTTAACATAAGCTGCTGTGATCCATCCAGAATCCAACCTTTTTACTCTTTCTGTTTTCTTATTTGCAGATGCACTCAACCTTCAACAGGCTTTGTGTTCAGCATTTCAGTAGCTGGTTGATACAGCTTTTTCTTCTTCAGGATCATAGCATATACCCAAAAATATCCACAGCTGTTATTCATAGGTAGTGCTTTAAGATTTTTCAATGTTGTTTAGAAAACCAGCTATAATTACTCTGGAATCTTGACTTTGATGCTTATTTTCTGAATTTTATTTCAAATTTATAGGCTAAGTGCTGTCATCCTCTCCACTAAGTAACCCTAGAAACCTCTACCATTTTTGTGGCCAATATCTGCGGAATATTGTAATGTTTTTGTCCCAGGCAAAAAAGAGAGAATAAGGCCTTATCTCATAATCCAAAGTGCTTCATGTACATAAAAACATTATCCTTTCTGGAGATCTTTAAAACAATTCTTGTTTTACTGTTGCAGTGTAGGCTTTGCTTTCTAATTTATATTTAGACAATTAAACCTGAAAAATATAAAGATGATGCTGGAATAGTTGTGTATTGCGAGTAGTCATGGTTGTGAGGTGCAAAATCAGCATCGACCATTTTTTAAAAAGCAAGCATGCCCTTGAATAATGTGTCTATTTTGTAAAAATTATCAACCTGTAAAAATTATTGTTGATTTTCATCAGCTTGCTTTCATAATTGTTTGGTTGTGACTTTAGAAACCGAGTGTCCCAAACACCCTCACCGAGACAAAACTCGGGCGAACCCCTGGCTCATCAGAGTTGTGCTCAGATCTCACTTTATGCACCAGGCGTGGTTCACTACAACTGAAAGGTAGGTTAGTTGCCATATCAAGCTTTAATTGCCAGATTTAAGGAAGGTATAGGGGAAAAAGAGTTTCAGCTTTTGGGTAGGCTTTGGGATCAGTCTGATATTCTGCTGCAAAGATGAGACACTGCGCCATCTCTAGAGCTTGCACAATGCAGGATGAACACGTGCGGGTGTGCATTGTGGTGGCTACAGGACATGCCTGAGATATAGGAAATCCCAGTACAGGTCTCATCTGTGCTTCAGCTGTTACACAAAGTACTCCTGCAAAACAGGATTAAGGAGACCAGAATTTGTACTGTCTATATGCAAAGCCATTAGTCATAGTCACTTCTGTGGGAAATGCCTTTTTTTTAAGCTCGACTCCCCTGATTTAATGCTTATTGTTTTGTAGCAACCAATATTTCTACAAAATATTCTGGTTTCGGTGTCCTTGAAAACATTTCATTCAGCAGAAAGCAGTTGAACCACCTCTTACTATGAGCAGACTGTTGTCATATCTTATGCACCAGCAGCTGATGGATGCGTGATACAGTAAATTACAGCATAATGCAAAAAGTAGAACATCTGACTGTATTCAAACTTTATTGACTTTTACAAACATTCTTTACTCAATATCTAAATATTCAGTCTTTGAATGAGCAAAACGCCCCTGAAAAAGAATGTGAATTTATCTCAAATTAAAAAGGCAGAATTTTGGCCCAAGTTTTACCTGACTCTTCCTTACTAGATCATTGTGAAAGCAGAACAGGGCAAAACAGCAATGCATAAATATAGTCAGATGATTCAATTTGAGAATTGAAAGGGTTTTGCCTGAATAGGATTTAGATTAAATTAAAAAAAAAAAAAAAAACAAACCCATGCCTAAACATTAATTTGCCTTAATATAATGGTAATTCACTCTTCTTATAATGCATTTTTGTTCCAATACCAAAATATGAGTTTTGAGATTTTGGACAGTATTGTGACTATCTTATTTACCCAGGTAAGACGGCTGGTTTGACTGGCTCTGGGAGTCAGAGCACTGTTTACAAAATCATTGAAGAGCTCTTCCTTCACCCAGGCTTTTCTTACCGATAATATTATTGAGAGTAAAGCATTATTTTGCTGAAAAAGAAGCTAAAAGACTTCACAAAATAAGTTTGCTGATATCTGTACAGTTACAAGTCTGGAGTTATGCAAATTTTCTTTTAGAAAGTTAATTTATGTCGTACACCCTCCCCTTCCCACCAGTCTTTTTCCCAGCACTCAGATTAAACAAACCCAAGAATAGCACACAAATTTGGATGGTTTTAAAAACAATAACAATTGTTTTAAAACTTTCTAATTAATCTATATTAATTCTATACTTTTGTCCCAAACATATCTGATCTACAGATGAATATGGAATGAAAATATATGAAAACTAGTTAAATATATATTCTTCCTGTCAGACTTACAAATATTTGTTGTTTTTATACAGATATACATTTGGCTGTTCATTAAACAATTGGATAAAAAGTATACATATTTTCCCCACTTTGCATTACTTAACATGCAGATTGCAATTCATTCAGAGGGAAACTGACAAGTTATACACTAACTGGGAAACAATAAGGTGTTTTTTTACATACCTGTCATTGTAAATCCACCAACTAGCAAACCAATGTCTCTTCCACCGACTATAATAGCTTCGCTGCGATCTCCTTCGCTGCCGGTGTTCTTGGTTTTCCAAGCAGCCCATATCCCTACTGCCAGGATTGCCAGGTAGAAGACAACTATGGCCACCAGTCCCTCCACATGGAAAGCCATGTTGAAGTCCCAACTGTTTCTTTTATCGCTATTTCATTAAGACCTCTGGAGAGAATGCAATAATAGGTCTGCTTTTAGCATACCTGCTTTTTAGAATCAGTGTACAAAACCCCTCAGATGGTTTTTAAAGAGACTATGCCAGTAAATTTAAGAAATGAGAATTTCGGATGTAATTGAGATGAATGTCACACGCCAATTAAAACGCCTGTGGAGCAACAACCAGTGGTTACAGTCTCTGAACACAAAAGGCAATGAATGACGTGGCTGAAAGCTAAACTATCCTTAGAAGTCAGTTATTGAGCACTGAATAATATTGGTATCACCAAGTCCTCAGTGTCTGGGGAACTTTTCAGTCACAGACTAGTTGTACAAGAGATAGAAAATCTTGGCCGTGTGGACTATTACAGAAATCTCTATTTTGAAGAAAAAATGCCTTAAGTAATACTAGAACTAAACTACATATAAGTAATAGCTACAACAGCAAAACATATATTTTAAGTGTTTGTATTGGAATTCTGAGTCTCGTCCCCCTTGTGACATCGCCCGTACTTTAAAATCTGCGATTTCTTTTTTGCAACACTTAATTGTCCAGCATGAAACGTATGAATCTGTTGTCTCAAATATGGGAAGCAAACGGAAAGCTTAAAAGCTGTCGGAAGGCAGAAATGTTGAAGTACACGAACTACAGCGGGGAAAAACTCCCGAGCGACGCAGACAGCGGCAGCCCCGTACCCAGCCTCTCCCGGAGCCCCCTCCCCATCCCGGCTCCGCGTTCGCTCCCGCACTGCCGCGCCGGCAACACCCGTCCGCGCTCCCGACGGCTCCGCGGCTCGGCCGGCGGGGCCAGCCGCCCGAGGCAGCCCTACCTCCCGGGGCTCCGCGCTCCGCCGAGCCGCCCTGCGCCCCCGCGCCCCCGCCCGCCGCGCCGTCGGGCAGGGACAGGGACAGGGACAGGGACAGGGACAGGGACAGGGACAGGGACAGGGACAGGGACAGGGACAGGAGCCCGCCGCCCACCTGCGCTCCGCCGCCGCGCTGCCCCGCAGCCCGCGGGGCACGGCCGCCCATGCCGCGGGGCGGTGTCGGGGCCGAGCCGCCGGGGGCTGTGTCCCCGCCCGGGGCTTTCCCGCTGGCGGGGGGAGGGAAGGAGCGAAGGAAGGATCGTTGTCGCCCCGCGGTGCCGACGGTGCGCCGAGTGCTGAGGCTGCGACGGGGGTCTCGTGGATTAATAAAGAGGAAAATCTCTTTATAAAGGAGGAGGGTTCAGTGGGGTGAGAGGACCGCGTCCGTCAGAGCTGGGGGGAGGAAGGGGGAAAGACGTCAGAGTGATAGGGGACGTTGGGGGGAAGTAAGGATGACTCAAGGGAGGCTGATTGTCGTGTCATGGCAGGGAAGCAGGGTTAGGAAGTGAAACTGAGGTGAGAAGACAAAAGGGAATGAGGGGAAACAGGAAGGAACAGGATCATATTGAACCAAAGGGAAAGAGGAAGAAAAGAAAGGCCTGATCTAAAAGGACATAGTGAAAAGAGCGATGGAGAAAGGGAAGAGGGCAGAGGTAGGGGAGGGAAGGTGAGCTCTGTGCGCCCCTTACCCTCCCTGGCAGTATTTCCTTGCCACCCCTGGGCCGGGCACTGGGCAAGCACCAAGCCAAGGTATGTCTATGAGAGGCTGGTCAGGACCATCTTTTGCCACACCTCCCTTCCAAACCTGGCTGAACAAGCATTGGCCTTTCCCACATCTGGGACAGCTAGTTCTTTGGAAAACTCCTTTTTGTTGCCATGCCTCTTATAAACCCTACCTGCAGAGCTAGGGTCATATCAGCTTTCCTGTGCTTGCACTTTTTCTCTGTCTCCAAATGATGCTGGACAGTGAGCTTCTAAGTGCAGAGAATAAGAGTACATGTGCAAAGAGAACTCACATATGCCCTTGCCCCGGTTTTGAGAAAGGGAAGATCATGCTGAACTGTGGCATTCTCTGTCAGCTCTTGAGAGGCTGTTAACATGGGCCATTGGCTCATGTAAGTTGAAGAGTAGAAATAAAAAGCCCACAGGAGGACAGAACAGCTAATGGCAAAAGAACTAACTTGAGGCAGAAAATCTGAAATCATCCTTGATTCAAGAGGAAAACTGCAATATGGGAAGATGTAAAGTCAGAGGGGAGAAAGGTGACAATTCATAAAAGCTCAGTCTTTGCAGTAGCAAAGAACGACCCAAGGACTGGTGCTTTCCTGCATATTTGCCAACTGCCTGGCCAGCTTGGCTAGCAGAGCAGCTTTGTCTGCCTGCTCACGAGCTGCTGAGCACACCACATTAGCCTCAGCCATTTATGTGCCTCACGGGCAATAAATTATGATTGTGCACTCATAAATTGATTGTGTGCATAAGACTGCTTTCAGGTCTGGCCTCACTTGAGAAACCCACATAAAGGTGGCCAAAGAATTAAAGGTTAGAAATGTTACTATTTTTGTCAGCTGGACTCTTGGGTTGTTCTGTGATTCTACTGGTGCAATCCTTGCCTTGGGAATGCATAGTAAGAACCTCCTCCCAGTAGTAGCAGCTGAGACATACCTTAGACACAGGTGAGCTACAAGGCACCACCTAAACAGAAATACTGCTATGGAGGAAACACGAATAGGTATTTAGAGGTATTTTATATATATACATAGGGTTTATATATAAATAGTAGGTAGCAGTCATACACCTCCTTGGAAACAATGAAGGTGTCTCAGTTAGGAGGAAAAAAACCCAAATTCTAGCAATTAAAATATGATAGAAAATGCTTGGATGCTAAAACAGATGTTAAACTAAATTCACACAAAGTTTTAATTACATTTTAGTGTGGTTTTGTTTAGCTTAATACAAAAAATCCAGTCATGTCCATGCAAAGCAGGGCTCAAGCCTGTCTAAGACAAACTAAAAAAATATTAACCAATGGAAAAAATCCTTTCTGAAATTAAATCCCAACTCTGATTTCAATGAAGACTGTAACAAATTTCTTTTGTACTTAGTGGGTTATATTAACAATTTTATGGAACTGGAATGGGAAAACTATTTTTCATTATAATTATTTCCAGAAAATATTTAATTTAAAATAAATTCTATTTTAATGAAATTCACTAAAACAAATTCTGAACACCTATTATTTTTAATTTATGTAGACTCTTGTGACAAGTTTTGTCTCTTTGATGCTGTAGAATGATTTGCAACTGTCCACCCAATGAGTCAACCCTGTCCAAGTTTTGCCTTACATGTCTATTTTACTCCTGTAGTTACTTAACTACAAGTAAGTTAAGTTATACATCCTCTCCTGAGATTTCCATTTAAGCTCTAGATTCCTTTAGTTTATATGGCTTTGGGCTTTGAAATTGCCTTCACCTGGATAAAGCTGAGAAGGACTGAGACAATTATTTTAGTGAATATTAGTGGATTTACTATGCCTTCTTTTCTCATCTACTGCTCTATCTCAGGTAGATTTCTAGTGTTTTCTTTTATGAAAGGACTGTGCTGTGCTGGATCCCTGTGTGCATTCTGCCAGCTGCAGCCAACAGCATCCATCAGCCACACCCCACAGAGCTCAGTTCTCATGACATCTGAGGGTGTGCACAAATGATACAGCAAGTTTCATGTCCCTTGGAAAAGATGTGCTTTGGTGCTTGAGATATTTCATGCAACTGCAAGACTGATTCCATATGAGACCTGACCACATTTCCAGAGAGAATAACTTCTGCTGTTGAACCACTTAGAACTGAGGTCATCTCTTCCAGGAAAAGAGAAAATACGTCGGTAGTTTTTGTCTTCTAAAGCAATTCCACTGCATCTAAACATAATTTTCTTTTTTAAAAGAACATAGCTTAAAAATACGCTCTTTGAAAAGTAATCCTGAAGCTTAGTTTTATTTATATTTAAGAAAGGACACACTTTCTAGTGAAAGGTGTCCCTGCTCATGGCAGGAGGATTAGAACTAGATGATCTTTAAGGTCCATTCCAACCCAAACCATTCTATGATTTTATGAAAGTTGACATAGGCTCTTGCTTTTAATCACATTTTTTGATACAGCTATTAAGGAGTGTTTTGGGGAAACAATGGAAGTTAGCAATGTACAATACCCATGTACAATACCTGTCTTCTAAGCAAAGATATTACAATATTTACAAAGAGTTATTGAGCCCACATATGGCTATTTGGGCTTCCTCTTGGTAATAGCACAGTTTTTTGCATTTTTAAATGTATGTCTACCACCAAGACTTTTCTTTGGAAAAGGTCACCCTGAATACAACTAACTGAGCTGATAAAAATAAAACCCCATTTTTTAAGGAAATATTAGATTAACAGTCACCCAGTTTTGTTTTGTTTTTAGTGCTTCCTGCTAGTTGGTTTCAGAGGAGTTTGAATAATAGGAAAGTAAGGGACAGAAACTGGAGTCTACTGCCAGTAAACATTTACATGGAGGGCTGTAATTCCCAATATTAAAGAAGTCACAAGTTTAAGTCATGATGTAGGACATCTGAACAATAAATATCTATATGGCTATATAAAATTTTGTGGTGAAATTTTGATTTTTCATAGATTTCTATGTTTAAAATTTTCATGGTCTAATTTTGCATTTTATGATTTTTGGATTAAAGAGTTACTTAAAAACATTATTATTCTTGAGAAAAAACAAACAGCAGCAGCAACAACAACAAGAAGAAACCAGCCCTAGGGTTTTGAGGTGTGTTCCCTTAATAAGAAAAGCTTTTACTACAGCTTAGTTTAAGGCCTGTATTTAGAGTTTTCCTGACGCTTACAGAAAGGTTTATTTAGAATTATTCTAAAAAAAGGGCCTCTCTATCTTGTGGTTTTTGGGTTAACATCAATCTTAGATTCCTTCCACAGTTTCTTGATTAGCCATGGAGTTCCCAAAGAAATTATCCATCCATTTGCTCAACAGCTCACAAAAACCCCACCTAGATGAGAGCTCTTTTGGGAGATATATTTGATGGTTATTTGCCATCTCTTGT